TTTTTTTTTTTGCTGTTTCACGGTTGCTGGAGTTTCAGAGTAGTGCCGAGCATTCCGCTTACACTTCCTGTCCTGTGCTGGATGAGCTTGAAGAATGTTGAGGTGAATACTTAATCAGATCCTCGGGTTGACTCACCTGTAATGTTCACATATGACCGTAATTGCCGTTGTCTTACTTTTAATTATGCTTTACATAAAACTCACATTTGTCTCTGCCTCCTGAAAGCTGCTTGCCGGATTGAGGAACCTCATGAACCTGTGCAGACATCAACCACACAGTCATCCGTTGCTAGCCACTCGGACAACGGTGCGACCGTGATATCATCACACACCTGAACAGAGTGAGGTGAGACTTGAACGTGGCGGCCAAGGAGGAGACAGATTCCTTCGACGAGTCACTGAAACAACACATTGCCGTCACGACTCATCTTTTTTTTTCTTCTCTTAACCTCATTCACGCTGATGCACTTTCACCTTGCTGATTGGCTGCCTGGTAACGTTTGTCCATCTGTGGGCTTTGACCTGCTAGTTCCCTCACTCATTGGGCTCTGAAAAACAGCGACCAAGGATGGATGCAAAGTGAATATAACAAGGACGACATGAAAACAATATGGATACAAAATAGAAACAAACTGGATGAAAATGACACGTCAGTGGGCACATTCACTAAAAAAACACTGACCTGAGAGGGTGCTGTCATCCCATCACAGCCTCCAAGTCTAGCTTGCCTCATCACTGAGGGTCACATGACATTTGGTAAATGGCACGAACATTTCATAGATCAGTGGTTCTTGAAATTTTGACACGTAATAAAATACTTGGCTCTCCAATACCACCATCATGGCCAACATCAAAATATAAGTTTAGTGTTTATCAAAAAGAGACACAGACGTTTAATTCATAAAGCGTATGTTTAATATGATGGTAAGCCACTGTAACGTTAAGCATAGTTTGAATATTAACACTGCATTAAAATATGGGAACATAAATAAAAAACTGTTTTGGCCGTTAATGAACTGGAGTTCACCGACTAATGCCGCCGTAATCCATAGTACATGCGACAATATGTGAGCGTAACGCAACAGGACATTGTGTTACATCAAACAAACATGGTAGCCTGTGTGTGCTCATGTTCGCATCCAGACACGACTGTCCATATGTCAGAAATGAAGTCTGGGCATCAACAATAACGTGCTTCCTTTTCACAAATTACATATACATACACACACACACACACATATATATATATATATATATATATATATATATATACACACACACATACATATATATATATATATATATATATATATATATACATATAATCAAGCCTCACAAATGAACAAAACGATGACGGAATACATACATACATATACACATATATACACACACACACACATATATATATATATATATATATATATATATATATATATATATATATATATATATATATATATATATATATATATATATATATATATATATATATATATATATATATATATATATATATATATATATATATATATATATATATATATATATATATATATATATATATACACACACATATATATATAAAATAAAAACAAACGACTTGTCAACTATTAAATTCATTGTCAACACTTTTGATCATAAATGTCATTGTGAATAGTCAACTAATTTTTGCAGCCCTTTTGTTGGTTGGCAAATACTTTTGGTATGGTAAAGGTGGCCCACCGGTAATGCACCTTAAGTGTTTGGCAAATGCCCCGCCAAAAAGTTACCACGATAACAGAACAAAGATTTTGGCTGAATGTGTTTTTACCTGGAGGAGGAGCAGTTTCTAGTGTAAATGGCACTGGAGTGGCTGTGGCTCGTGCTGCGGGCTTCCTGGCAGGTGTGTTGAGGCTGTGGTGTGTAAATCTAAAATGGTGAACATTGAGCTGTTCCAGCTTGCTGCTGTCAGAACAGTCTTGGCTGTGAATGGCAAACTGCTTGGAAACCAGTTCATCATTCACACATATCTGAAAATAAAAAAAATAATGTTCAGACTCATGACATATTAAATGCGTAAGCTCAATAGATGTACTCCCAGTCTTATATGGGACATTTTAGGGAAAAGTAACTTTTTCATGTGCTGTAAGCAAATAGCTGTATGTCTGGAGTGCCGACTGACCCATCAAGTGTGACATTAAACAATCAAGTCCATATTGTTACCAAACTATATTGAATGAGGGAATTTGGAAACAAGAACTCTTAATTTGAGAAAGATACACATGTAATATCTCCTTTAAAGCAGTGTGATTTCGTGTTGACTGCTTGGAGATTGGAAGGGAATAATTGTCCCTAAAAGGATGGTCGTAAAACATAGTATGTAGACATTCCATACATGAAACGTTTATATTCAAGCGAGGTGACCTTGACGCTCTTAACGGTCACGTAGAGCTCGATGGCGGTGGAGTTGGACTCGTCCTTCATTAGAACAGCCTCCATCTGACTTGAAGCTTTGACATGAGGAAAAACGTGTGAGTGATGAACACTGAAAAGCATTGCGCATGTCATGAGGCTCACTCTTGAGAAGGTCATGCATGTAGGATGTGGCTGAGCTGTCCCAGTGGCTGGATGGCCTGCAAACAAAACACACGTCCATCACAAGCAAACTGTATTATGGAGTTCGAGATTATGAGCACTCTTACGCCAGCTTGGCTTTCTCGCAAAAAGACACTTGGAGCGTCAGGGGCTTGACCCTCGCCAGATGGAACCTCCGCATCCAGAATGGCAGCTGGAGGAAGTCCTGCTTGACATGTCGGATTCTCAAATGAGGATGAGAATACAACTTTAGATATCAACTGCCACAATCAGAAAAAGTTGATTTAGCATTATCAAAAACATGATACGATACCCATACAAAATATTCATGTATGGTGTAAGTATTAATATTGTCCAATTGGAGTCATCTCACGCTCTACACTCTAATAACTGCGCGATTTTGAATGTGTAGGCTTTAAAAGGCACAGCAAACATGGTGAGTGATGTGGGAGTCATCGAATGAGAGGGTAGAGTTGGATGCAGTGATCAGCTAAATAAACTTAGCTAAAGATATTCAAGCTACCTTGAGATGGATTTTTTTTTTTTTTTTGGTGTGTGAAATGATGACTAAACTGAATTTCTTTTCCGCAATCTTTGTTCTGGGTTCAGTGCCACTGCAGCAACTTATTTCTAGCTGAAAAAATTGACTTTGAATGCTTTCGTGACGGAATTATTCAAGTTATTCCAATAAACCCTCACATAAAGCAGGCAGAGAACATACACACACAGTGTAGAGTATGGTCTTACTGGCTGAGGAGGACAACCAGAGATTCTCCATGGTCCAGCAGGTCACAGTAAGCAAGAGACATATGCGAGTCAGAGACAATGGACTGCAGCCTGGCCCGGCACCATATCTTCATCTGGGACCAGTACACCACACACACCTGCGTCAAACACACATACATCCCATCAGAGAACACACCCACCCAAGTCCATGAGACACAGCTGACTGAGCGAAGCTTACCTGTCCCTCCTCCAGTGAGGAGGGTGTCACCACACACTCGTCACTGGTGACATCCTCATAGAAATTGTTCATGTGTACAAACAGCTCGTTGTACTGATGCTTGCCCACCGCCTCCATGCCAGCGAGGCTGTCCAGCTGGGCCCAGATGCATGAAGGGTCCACAAACTGCCATGTTGGAAATAGAGATTCTTATGCACACTTCCAGATGAGCAGCCAAAAACACCAACTCTTACTTCTACAATTAATTTAATCATACGACTAAACGGTACCACTGATGTCACAATTAATCACCGTGACATACTATTGCTAATTTAATTAGGAGTACATATTGTTTCCTTATTCCATTTGAAAACCTGCGATAGCTCTACATCAAATACAGTAAACCAGGGGCCCCGAACCTTTTTTGCCCCACGGACCGGTTTATGTCAGACAATATTTTCAGGGACCGGCATTTAAGGTGTGGCGGAAATAATACAACAAAATAATATGGTATGAGCTGCATGAAAACTGTGGCGTTTTCGAAATATAATAATAAACACAAGGAGCGTCTAATCTGGCTGCAACACTCCGATCGCTATGGCAATGTTTAATGCCTTCAAAATACGATACAACGCAAATTCAAAGTGCATGAAAATGACGACTCACCACAGCACCCAGCTTGATTTTCTGCAACCAGACGGTCCCATCTCGGGGTAATAGGAGACAATGACACCTCAAGTGTGTGGTTTATGTCCAGTCTACTTCGTAATTTTGTTTTCGTCGCCGTTGCTGCAGAAACCCCCCGCCTCACACAGGTAGGATGTCGGAAATAGCAACAGTGCTATTGTGGCCATCTCAGAGTATTCAGCCAGAATTTTAATCCAGTTTTCTCGAACGTACTTTTAAGGCCGCCGTCATTTGCGATTTCCAGCAGTTTTTTTTTACTCATTTTGCGAGCTCCCGCGTTTTGTTTTGAAGTAATCGGTCACGTGAAGGAGAAGCGCGGCTTGACGTGTGTCAAACGTGACACAGAAGGATGTAAGGGAGTATCCGGTAGTTTTTCAAAATAAAACATTTCGTATTCCAAAATAAATAAAACGGAATTAAGGCAAGTTCTTTCTGTGCGGCCCGGTACCAAATGCCCGGCGGACCGGTACCGGTCCGCGGACCGGCGGTTGGGGACCCCTGCAGTAAACCACTTCCCAACCAACCGAGGCAGATGGCCACCCCACAGTCTCAGGTCTGTGAAAGGTTTTTTCCTTTAAGGGAGTTCTCTCATCTCTCCTTCCAGAATTCCTATACAGATTCGCTACATACTGTCGTAATTTTAATTTTTCTTAGCCTCCGTCACCCAGTTCTAGCTCAAGTAGGTAACTTTCTGTATGCTGTGAAATTATGCTGGAATTTAATTAAAATACATGGAAGTCTCATTGTCTGCTCATATAGCCTGGACAGAATTCACGCTTCTACCAGGAAGAATTGAATGTTTCCATAAAACATGTTCACAATCACTGCCAAGAACACATCACACATCATTTCAACAAAGGATAGATAACTGAACATGCGCCGAGTGGAACAATGATAAGTGTTGCGTAGGGGAATTATTTTTGCATTTTCACATTAATGCAGCCTTGAGAGTAAATTAGTCAAAGACTGACATAATTCAAAATAGACACGTTGTTACGAACGATTAGACATTTTAACCAATGTTAATTATTTGCACTCTACTGTATTTTTGCATTTTCACATTAAGGCAGTATTGTGAGTAAATTAGTCAAAGGCTGACATAATTCAACAGACACGTTTTTACGAACTATTAGACAATTTAACCAAAGTTAATTATTTGCACTCTATTCAATCTTTTATTTGAGAAATTAAATCGAAGACAGAAATGTGGCAAGACATTCAAGTGATAAGAATTAGGCCCCAGTTTACCTTCAAATTAATCAACTTGGACATCGTCTTTAGCCTCGAAAACACTCGCTTGGTCTGAGAATATGAAAAAATGCAATAAAATAATGCGTTATTCAGAGAACGAATGTTAAGTTACTTTGGCAACTGGCAATGTGCGATTTCACAAAATGGCACTTGGTTAACAAGCCAACATTAGCCCGCGCCATTTCTCCCTTTGGAAAAGAAACTGTACCACATTACTTCAACTTGACGTGATACACGTTTACTGGTAATAATAAAAGCGTAAAAACGACTCTATCATTAACTCTTTGATTCCAATCGATATGAAACTGAACGGCGGCATATATTAAATAATAGGACGGAAAAGAAACACCTGCTGCCAGTAAAGGACAGTCAAGTGGACCGGTAGTTGACCACTACACGTGCAATCTCTACCGACGATGAATGTTGGTGTTAACTTCTGGAGAGAAAACGCAAAACCAGCCAAATACGGTTTCCTCGATTACAATGCTTAAAAATATTGTATTTGAAAACAGAAGTGGTAATTGTACTCACACGCTGTACTTAGTAGAAGTACACATCAATCAAATAAAAGAAACCCAGTGAGACCAATGTCTCTTTCCCCCCCAGGGGCAATATGGCCAACAAAGAATAAACATATATACACACCAGTGGCGATTGCTCTCGGACTGCTAGGGAAGCTCGGCTTCCTCTAAAATGTCAAAGAATAAGTGATCAAATATATGAATGTAAATTTCATTGTGTGTACATGTCATTGACTAAATATGCGCTAAAACGTGCTCAACTTTTGTTCCGAATCAGCTTCTTCTTACTGGTTACGACGCGACTCCCTTCTCATTCATTCCCGCAGCTTCGCTGAGCGAAATGGTGGACGCTGAGCGTCAGCAGAGAGTCTACCATCCAGACGCCGAGCGTCTCAAGAGAGTTCAGGGTAGGTTGTCCCAATGCGTTGAACGGAGACGAGTCATTGGATACAAGCTGGTTTTTGTCCCGCCCACGGACGCTCGGCGTCTCTGCGACTGGATGGCAGTGGGAGGGTACCGGACGCTCGGCTTTTCTGCATCAGATTGGATGATCTGTCTGAGCCTGTGTGCCAGTTTGATTGACATCGAAATGAGCCAATCACCGACCTTTTAGTGTCGGCATCCGTGTGAGTAATTTTTCAATTCGCATTCTGTTCTGAGTTGAGCTGGAGACTTCTCCTAATCATCTTAGCGACACTCTTTGCTGTAAACAACTAGCGACAAATTAATCTTTTATTTCTGGTGGGTTTTATTGTAGTTCCTGTAGTTGTAGGACACTAATTAAGTCCCTGGAAAATACGCCTTGTTGGTGTGACAGGGTCACAGATCATTTTCTTGAAAAGGAACGGAGAATAGAATTCACGTATAAATAAACGGACACATTTTATGATGTCGGCCAAAATTGAGCTTCCCGTCTTTGACAGACCAGCATCCGCCACTGATACACACAGACACACACACTAATTCAACAGGTTTACTTGAGGAAACAAAACAGAAAAAGCACACGAAAGTATTTCAAGTATACACGTATTTGTCAATAATTTACTCGACCTGTTTTGATAATTTTGCAAAAAAAAAGGCGTAAAAATAGTTTCCTCAGATTTTTTTGAGCACTGAGAATTTAGGATTGTTCACACGGCACACATTTGCTCCGGCGCTACACCGATGTATTTTGTTGCGATATATTTTACACCGGAGCAAATTTTGTGGAGCGGTCACACGTACAAAGCCGCTGAGCGTGTTAGCACCGGCGCAGTGTCGGTGCAGCTCCACTTGCGGTAACACGGCAGTTTCTGCAGCGGAGCAAAACGACAGAAAACATAGCTGTCGTGTTGGTTCTTTTTAAAACTTATACACATCTCAAGCAACTATGTACAGGTACGTCCTTCTCCTTCTCGGTCTCAGTGCCTTCTGCTCGAGAGTGACCGCCCCCGAAAACGTAAATCAACGATGACTTCAATGACACTCAGAAAAGCAAACATGTAATGCGCCAAACAGAAAATCAGAGAGGAAATCACCCAATAAATAAATTCCACAACCAAGATTCAAACCCCAAACTGTGAGGCACATGTGCCAACCATTTAACCGCTCCATTCATAAAATCCATACGGCACATGTTCAGAGGTTTTGCGACCAAAACATCCCAGTTCTGTCCAATTACAAGTTCCGAATCATCTCCAGAGTGGCCGCATGTCATCTTCCTGCCGCAGTGGACTTGTGGAAGAACGTGTGGATGTTTTGTGCAGCAGTCTGGCCCACAACGACCTCCAACTCTGCGACGGTGGCGTTGCACAGCTGATGAATGCTGGAGAAGAGCTCCAGCAGGGCCAGAGCTTTGACCTGGCCAACCCCAGGAACTTGCTGCACTGTCGCCAAGACCAGCGGGTCCAAGAGTCCAGATGAGCTTTTTCTTCTGAATGGGTTCTCCTTGCCGGCGGTGTGAACCTGCCACCAGAAATAAGAACACTATCACCATCTAATATTTAAGCAACCGTGTTGGTAATCATGCACTCAGTCACTAATGATTAGGGAGTAAGAAATCACCTGCACTCCAACCATTTACTGTCACCAAAAACGTATTCATTAAGTAGGGGTAGGCATGGAAGAGGGTCTCACCCAGTTTATTTGTAAAAGTCATGTTCATACACCACTGTAATGACTCATGGATTCCTGTAGATTTCAGCCATTGAATTGCTTTGGATTTCAGATCAGGACAGCTTTGCGGTAGAAGATAAAGATCACTGTTAAGTTTGACATGTTTATTTTCACAAAAGCTTGTTGTCTCCCTTTCTTGGTCAGAAACTGTCTTTGGAGCAACCAAACCATGTTCTACTACTGATTACCAAAGAACGGAGAAAGAAACTTTTTTTTTTCTGGTGAAAGAAGAAAATCTTGCATTTGGTAGGTTTGGTGGTTCTATGGTCACAGAACACAATATTCTTTGGGTCTTCAAAGTGCTATCAACGAGTGGCAACATGGGGTACTGCGCTCAAATGTCTGACATACAATGAATCAATTAATTTTTTACCCCCACAATTTAACCAAACTATTCTGTACAAAAAATTGCTTTTTGCTGACTCAGGTCAACAAAGCAAAGCTGGACAGCAACCTAACTCAACAAAAAGTGATGTTACCATTTGAAGGAGAAGTTGTGATGCCTCGGTCTGCCCGCCGACCGGTAGCAGCGTCAAGCCGAGCTCCAACACGACAAACTTCTGGACGGCCCAGAAGTACTGCTCGACCAGGCGTGTTTTCTCCACTACGACCAGCTCCTGGAAGCTGCTGCAGGCCTGCGATGTCAACACACCGACTTAGGACAAAAACTAAATAGGTGAGAAGCTCAAACTCACATTCCTGTACCGAACCAGCTTCCTCTTGTAGGCAGCACCGGCGATGACATCACATTCGGAAAGGTAGAGAATGCAGTTCTTGTTTGGGAGGAGGAAGTCGGCCACGCCAAGATCGCTCTCGAACAGGATTTTCACTCCTCCTCCTGGAGCAGAGAAACAGGATTATTTCAGAGATTTGGTTCAAAACACATTACACTCTACATGCTTGAGGATAGAAGCTAAAAATATGCAAAAAACTGACAGCTATGTACAGTGAAAGAGTATTTGCACCATTCCTGATTTCTGTGTTCTTTGCATATTTATCACACACACAAAGATGTCAGTTCATCAAACCAATTTTAATATCACAGAGACAACCCAAGAAAATACCAAATGCAGTTTCTAAATACTATTTAAATTTATTTAGACACACACAATAAAAAAATCTAAAGCTACCTGTCCTTATGTGAAAAGGTAATTGTTTCATTTGCGTCAGCGATTATCCTGCACAGTTGTCACCTGAAGTTAGCCGAAAATAAAGATTTATTATTTCTAATAAACCGGTCGTGTGGCTCCGTTAAAGCATTCCAAAAGTAAAACCTTATTTTCTGTAAAAATCCCAAGACATATTTATGTTATGTCTGTGGAAGATGAGGCAAAATGATGTTTAAAAAAAAGCATGAGCTTGTTTGGTATTAGAGGAGGAATAAAGCAAAAGCCGTTTTGAATGTCACTATCATTTGCGTATTAAATGCGATGGAGGGAAAACAGTTAAATCGGATTTTTAGGAGGGGAAAAAATACTTATTTTAATACCTTATGGACGTGCTGTTCAGCAGATTTTAGTTCAGTCAGGAATAGCCACGTCTCAATTGACACTAAAATACTGCATTTCACATTTTTAAAGCAAACCTGCGCCAGGTGAACAAAAACGTTTCGTTGTGGAAAACATGCCATTAACAGGTTTTAAATATCACTGCCATTTGCCTTTTCTACTAGCGTGTACGAAAATTCAGCAAACATCGGATTTCCGTTTTTAAAAAAAAACGAAATGCGCTTGAGATATTTAACCTGAGTTCTGCAATAATTTCATATTTCCCTTTTTTTTTTTTTTTTTACCTTTCAAGCTTTGAATAAGCGACGAGTTTCTCCACTTCTCGCTCGCGATGACATGTCCGTATGCAGGGACAGTCAAAGTCGCTTTCTTGCTCTCCATTATGTCAACATACAGTACACGTACGTATTAGTTTGGATAAGTGAGACAAGAAACGTAACTTGGCAGTGTCAACCTTAATCACTTATTGTTTTGGAGCGCCTTGTCTTTTTCTCGTCTAAAACATGACACTGACGAGGACCACATGCGATATGTCGCCCCCTGAAGGAAAGAGGCGCAATCATAGCCATTCCGTCACAGATTTTATTCGTCTAGAATGCATTACATTTCTGTTTATTATTAATGTTATATTCACAGAAAATAGCTTAAAATTGACATTTCTAACTCAAATTTTGGAATGGTCGTACTTGTACCTATAGACGGTGCTTTTCTTTCTATATTAAAATAATTTTCAGTGACTCCACATTTTTTAACAACAGTGTATTATTTTTGGCAACGCCCCTTCCCCAGCCCTTGGTCTTTTTTTTTTTTTTTTTAAGATAGGCCCGAATTTTAGAGGCATTTTGTACATTTCGAATATAGGGTATTTGCAGTGTGCTTTTCATGACGAAAGAGAAGATAAGATAAGAAAACCTTTATTTGTCCCACAATGGAGAAATTTGCGATCTACAGCAGCAAAATTGAAGGCTGGCTGTTGAGATAAAAATAGACTACATATAGAGTACATACTGCATAACATACCCTTCATCTCAAGAATTACAGTTAGGTTTGGAATACTTGTAAAATATATTCCCTCGGGCAACATGTACATAATTTACGAGTCAGTTGTTCTCCACTGATTATGAGGTCAATGTCAAAAATGTCACGGATGATTTGTTTGTTTGTTTTTTGTACCAGTCAACCACTGTGCAGTACTAGTAATTGTTAAATTTGTCATTAATTTTCATCCCCCAGTCCCGGTTGTAGCCTGCCTTTCAACCCAAAGTCATCTGAAACAGGATCCATCTCCTTGGAACCATCATCAGGAACAATTCAGGACTTCCCTTGAATGGTAACACATTAGGGCACCTCAGCCATCACACCTCTGGAGGACGATGACCAGACAGTCGTTCTCTAAGGACACACAAGATAAGAAAAGACCAAGTTGTTATTTTCAGTTTCTCAGATGATTTGCCATAATTATTTTGACAATATTACCAGGTGCGATCATGATTTCTTGATTCTTAGTGCCAATGCGTAGGACAGTGAGATTGTTCTGAGGGTCAATGTCCCTCACTGTGCTGGTGGCCATTATGGTCAGATGACGAAGGAGTCCTGCGTACTTTGCAGCCTTGGAGTTCTCAAACGTTGATCGGACTGGGATACCTGTCAAACAGCATTTACTTCTGTTAACATTATATATTCTGTGTGTGTGTGCGTGTGCGTGTGTGTGTGTATATATATATATATATATATATATATATA